GATGGTCTCTCCGAAGCAGCCAACACTACCCGACACCAGCCGACAGCACTAGAGCGACCAGGGCTTGAACTGGTTTCATTTCCCCCTTTCCTCCAGGTTTGTATAGACAAGTATTTGGTATTTTACTTTACGGGTTAACCAGAGCTTGAGTTGTTCCCCCTCAGTAGAAATGAACCACTTGCAACAACAAATCTGTCAAACACATAAAAAATACTCAGTGGCAGATTGAACACTTGTCTGGTTTAAGACATCCAACAACATCCACAAGATAATTGCTGCAAAATATTTAACACATCTATTAATTATTGTGGAATCCTGTTCCACTCAGCTAATCCCCTCTTTAATTAGTTTCCTACCTATATTTAATAATTTCTATAACGCTCTCCATGCAGACTCACAGGCTTCCCATAAACGCCATTACTTTGCCTTAATGAAGCTCTTGCCCATCTTTTCTATCTTCCACGCTGAGTTACTTCTCTGATCTCAAGTCACATATTCATGGTCCAAGGCCAAGGATGCCAACCTCTGGTAATGATACATCCCTGATGCATAACCAAGGTTTGCTGACCTCATAACATGCCCGTCCTCCCCACCCCTCAATTATGGTGAAAAAAAGCCTTGAATGAGTAAACAGAAAAGCAGAAGATGCCCCTAACTCATGCACCACCACAGAAAGCAGCAGCCGAAGATCACCCTAAGGAGCAGCAGAATACAGGGAAGGGCAGACATCCTGGAGAAGGGAACGAGGAGCAGGTAGCCCACACGATGGCCCCGAGTGTCCTGGGCGAGCCAGTCGGGGTGGGGGGACATCGCCCCGCAGCACCGATGCCCAAACTGCTCCTGCAGATACGGCTTCTCTTGTGGGGTGGCTTATCCACCTGCTGGGTCTGCCAGCAGCATACGGGGGCTTGAAATACTGAACGCTGCTCCTCTTCAAGGCACTGACATAACCAGGAGAGTCCTTTTAAGATCGGATTTATCTCCTCACTCTGTCCAAGCATAAGAGGTAATGAAGGAGTTACACCAACAGACTAGAGACCCACCTCGGAAAGCTGCAGGCTGCCGCCGTACCAGATGGGAAGCACACTGCAACTTTTTTTCTTTTTCTTTTTTCTTCAGTGTTATAAAATTGAAATGGTTCACTCCTGGTTCTGGTACCCGGTGCCAAAAACACTTCCCTCTGCTAATATTGCCTGTAGGATCCTGCTGAATGAGGACTGTCACATCTCCCACGTCTTCCCCAAGTTCCACAGCGCTTATCAAAACCACAAAGGCAGCGCTGCCTGAAATTTGAAAACCTCAGCCCTGATATGTGCAAGTGAAACCAATGACAAATCTTTCATTACTGATTTTACTTTAGGAAAGAGCCTGGTGACTCTCTGAATGTCTGGCTAGTCCATGAAATAGAGGGAGGCTGGTAATATTAAACATTCATCAATTGTTTTTAATAGCACATTTGACACCTCTTGAAACAAAAGGGTAACTATTATTAAAACTGTGAAACTCACCATTTCTCTTTCTTTGTACATCTCTGTACACCAACTGGTCTAATCACGCTTGATTTCTTGATGCAGTGTTGCACGGCTGAGACATCCCTCTCGCCTCCTCAGCTGGAGGAGGAGATGCAGAAGCATTTCCAGAAATTACCTCTGACTATCAAATCAAAGTCTTCACTAGACTGTGGGCTTTGACAGGCCTCAAAAGCAGTTACTATTTAAAATGCTGTTTGTATCTAAGTGAACATCTAATGCAAACGATTAAATTCAACCTTAGAGACAACGGGAGATCTTGAAAGTCAGATAAAAGCACTGAGGTGATGAACCAAAAAAATTAAAGAAAAACGGGTCTGAGGAAAAACAGTGCTTGGTTGTGCACATGAATGCACTGCACTCTGGGAAGTGTAAAAACATCTTCCCTGAGTTTCCACTGTTATAGCTGCTACACATACAGGTGACCATACATTGCAAAAGCCAACACAAACCTCCCAAGCTTTGTTTCTTTCCCTCCCACCCCCAAATCGCATCCAAAAGCCAAGTTTCCCGAGTTTCATTAGAATTAATGCAGATTTACAGTGATGAAAATGATTTCAATCACATAAGCATTACTCTTTTAACTTGAAAAGCCACAAATATCAAGGTCAGCAACCAAAGAGTAAGTACCACCTTGTGCTAACAAGACTACACAAACCCCTAGAAGAGGCAAATTGGTTCGTTCAAAGCACTTGCAAACACGAGGATATAATTTATATGTGAAAAAGGCAACACAAGCACTGGTCAAAACTTTACGATTACCCTCACTCTTCAGAATCCTCTCACCTCTAGTCAATGAAAAGTTTGTGTGTTCTTCAGTAAAGAATCCATACAACTAGTTTATTATTAAAAATCACCCTATCAGCAAAGACAGAACCAATGAGGATGTGCTTGTACTTAATACTGACTAAATGAGGTAAGACAGAAATGGTGTTTAATTTAAACTAACTATTAAGTTTATAAAAACAAATGCATCAGAGTCATTTCAAGTAAGTTTTTAATGAAAAACAATTACAGGTACTTGTCTGTATTTTAATGGAACTAGAAAACTTCACCATCCTAGGCCCAGGCTGCAAAGGCACCAGCAGACTACCTGGCGAAATCTGAGCAATAATCATGCACGCAGACAACCACACCCTGAGAAACTCCGCTGTGAAACAACCGATAGCCACAGCTTCCACCAGGCTTCAGCTGCGTGTAGTCAAAGGTCATTACAGACCTCCCAACCCATACACAACTATAAACAGTTCCTCAGATTTAATTCTGATTTTCCCCTTGAGGTAGAAAGCAGCCCGAGATGTTTATCCTACTCAGAACACAGATTACTTGAAATTCCACTTGGGATTTGGAGCTGTGGGCCCAATACATGCAAAAAGGGAATGCCAATAATCTCACCAACAATACATAAAAAAAATCCATTAGTTTATATGAAATGAGAATGCAAGGACACAAGGTTGGTTTGGAATTTATGCTCTCTTTTTAGAGCAAAACAAACACCCTATTAAAAATCTACTATTTAGCTATTATTAGCTGACACACTTGACCTGTTTTATATGTATGTAGGCCTCCAAAAAATAAACACTGTGTTAAGTGAGTTATTGGAGCTGAGGCCATGGAAGTATAAACTCAGATAACATGAAAGTTTACACTTCCAGTATAAGCGCATAACTTTCAGGTTAAGTTTTGCCTGAAAGCAGGGAGGACTTTCTAGAGGGAAAATTGCAGAACTCTACTAGAAACATAGTACAGTTACATTTGCATTTTTAGCACGGGGAAGAGCTGCAGGCGGACGCTCCTGTGTCTGTGCACAGATTTCTTTCCACAGAACCAGGCTAAAGACCTTCCAAGACTCTGACAGCTGGAAACTGGCAGCAATCACACCTATGAGACTTCTGTTATTTTTGTTAAAATTTAGTCATAGAGGATGCACTCCCCGAAGTCTTCTTGCATGTGAAAAAGGGTGAGAAATAGATCAAACAACTCAATATTAACACAGTGGCAAAGGAAACGAAAGTCGCAAACCCCCAGACAGGAAGCGCACAATGCAAATAGCTCTGCGGGGTTCAGGGGCCAAGGAGACCCCCTGAGGAGCCCCCCCTCAACCCCTTTCGCTTCCCCTGCCCCCCGGTGCCGAACTCCCCCGCCCCAGAGGGCTCTCTGCTGTCGGTCCTCACGGCCCCGACCATGACACAAACCCCAAACACCGGCTGCACCAACGTGCGACCCCCGGGCTGCGCATGAAGCGGCGTTTCAGGGGACCCCCTCAAAGCTCCCACCGGGGCTCTGCCTCCCTCGCTGCCGG